CCACGTCACGTCTATTAAATGGTGCAGCGAAAATAAGATCTGGCCGGCTAAAATGACTTGGTTGCAATGGCAGATCGCCCACCGCTGTCTCCCTACCAACGCTTGGCTGATTGATCACACCCAGCTGGAACAGAAAGCTGTAGCGCTTCCTTGGTGTCGAAGGAGCCTCACTGCCTTCCCTCCACGAAAATGGAGTGAGACAATCGAACACATCTTCATGCAATGCCCGGTGGCTGCACTGACATGGCGGTGGTGGGACCGGGTGTGGCGCAAGATGATGCCGGACACACCCTCACCATGGTCTTGGCAAGCAATTCTGACTGGGCGTTGCCCACCCATGGCCACAGCATCCTCCTACCAAGGGAACTGGTTCAGGCTTGGTAGAAGAACAATTGTCTGGGCCCAGTGGTGGCAGCGTTGCCTTCTCAACTTGGAGGGCGTCAGAGCAGGGGATGGGGAACTTATAGGACAAATCAAGGAACAGGTTCAGTTGAAACTGCTGCGCAGATGGCATGATCTTAAGAACCAGCTGGATCTCTTCCAGACCGTCCGGGATATCAAGCGGGCCCTCGCGGGCTTTTGCACGGACTGGCTTGGGGGGGATCGAGGGGGTGGGTGGCCCCAGGGTTCAATGGGGAGGAGATCCTTCAAGAGGGGACCAGCCGAGAGGGGCGGAACAGGGGCCTCCCAGGGATTACCACCCTTTTTTTTTTTTTTTTTTTTTTTTCTTTTTTTTGGACCAATGCTCCAGTCTATTCGTGGGGAGCAACACGTGCTGGGAACCGGGCCCAGCGTCCCATACAAAACGATACAAAAGATTCGAAATACCAGGGCCATTACCTGGCCTGGGCTCGCCTTGTGTTCAATGATTGGACTAATTCTGAGCCCTCCTTCCCTATGAGACCCCCATCTGACTTCCCAGACCCCTTCCCCCCCCCACTCACTTTCCCTAGTAGAAGCCGTCATTTGAGATACCCCCTGGATACCCCTTGCGCATCGGCCTTGAATCGCCCCCGGTGCCCCCTGGGGTAGGTAGCAAAAGGTGTTTGCTAACAGTCATGGGAAAGGCGGACTGCATTTTCGCAGTGCAGGAGATAAGCGTCACCTGATGGATCGGTCACAGCGGAAGAGGCGGTTCTACAATGCTGTCTATAGCCCAACCTAAAAGTCTAAGTTTTAATCCAATCCTCATTTTTTTCCTCTACCTGCACGACCAATGGGAGGGAGAAACTAGGTTCTACGTGATGCGGAATGTATGCCATTTTGGGATTCGGTGGCGGTGGCGGTTTTTAGGAACTTTGCGTGGGATTCAGACGCGAAGCGTCTGCTCTTCGAGCCCGACGAACGTTTCAAATCCGGCTGGATGCCCTGCCTTGTTTGTATTAGGACCTGATTCTTACCAGATACCTTGGGGAAGCTGTATTGGCTGGGTAACGCAGGATCCGCAGACTTGGCTTGATGGAGTTTTTCGGGTAGATAGTGTATTTGGCGGTGGTTCGCCTCTAGGTGAAGTTCCTGAATTTTGTGACAAAGGCGGAGTGTTGCGCGCGTTTTTACGCTGACAGTGACGGTTTTCAGGGACCTGTTGGACGCACGGTCCAGGCGAGGTGCTTTTCCTGGTTCTAATCCTCGGTGTAGTATGTATGGGGACTGTTTCTTGCCCAGATGCTTTGTAGAACTCTTTCTCCTTTTACTCTGTGCGACGGTTTCTGGTTCCCAAAGCCTCTGTCACGGTCATATAAGGAGTAACGTGCGGTACCTCAGTCCTTCATTTGTCTCCATTTCCGAACGTGCTGAGACGGTTGCTTTCCGCGCTGGCTACGGCGGTGCCTGAGGGCAGCGATGGCAGGCGGAGTGCGCCTTTGGTGTTGTACACTTTGCATGACCTTGTGCTGCTTCTATCATGTGTCTTCCTGCTGGTGTATCTACCTCGTGCGGTGTGCGTTGCCTCCTGGATGAAAATCGATGACCGCTGGACGACGCGCTGTGGCCACCATGACAGAGCAGGAGTACGTTTACATGGATCGGGGACTGGAGTTTTGGCTTTTGCTTGTACGGGATGTGAGGATAGGAGTAGGGTAATGGTATAAACACGAGGCAAGGCATTGGTATGGCCTCGGGATTCTGAGTTGACGAATGGAGTGCTCTGTGGGCTTAATCCCCCTGATGAGTCTATGGCGGTGTAGACGAAACGTGTCGGGGAACGACCGCGTGTATGATTTTCACTCGTAATTTTGCAGGCTACTTGTGTGCTTCAGAGCTCCCATTTTGTACGCTTTCTCATAAGGAATTGGTGTATGTTGTATTCAGCTATGGGCGTGCGTAACGGAGTGGTTGTATGGGTGTATCTTTCTCCTCCATTCGCATGCTAAGGCAGTCTTGCCGGTCTGTCTTTTTCCTTTTTCCTGGCACAGGGCGAAGAGGTTCTCCCCCTTTTCCATTAACCTGCTCAGTCCACCCTCTGGATTCCAGAGTAATCACTGCTGGCAGGTGTCTCTCAAGACTCTTGTACTGATATCCTCCTGATCAGGGTCCAGCTCCAATTTCATTCTGTATATGGGAAGCTGGACCCTTTTTCCAGCAGGTGATGCTCCACACAAATAGATGGAGCCGCTCCCCAGGCCCTAGCGGTGCCTGCTCGTACCCGCTCCGCTAGCACTGGAGGGGGCCGTTTCTTAAAAAAATATAATAATAATAATAATAATAATAATAATAATAATAATAATAATAATAATTATATTAAAAAAAAAGGCTAAGGGGCTGGGCCTCGTTGGCAGCTCAGGGAATGATTGCTGTCTTTTGTCATGGAATGGACTGCTTGTCAGTGCTTGATCTATTTGTTCAATTTTTAATTTTTTTATTCCTTCCACTGCAAACAAGCAAAGGAGGTTTACGAAACTGCCGCTCATGTGAACCAGGTCTTAACTGCTGTGTGTCCACCTTCCAAACCAGGAGGTGCACAATGTAATCCCATCTCAGGAACAGGTCCTAACTAGGTTTCAATCATGTAAACCAGGTCTTAACTACGTGTCCATCTTCTGAACCAGGTCCGAACTGTATTCCAATCTTCTTCTGAAGTACAGTGAAATATAAAAATGCTGCACAAGATCCCAGTTTGTATTTTTGCCGATCAGACCCGTTTCAAGCTGTCAACTGATGATCGCTCCTGTCCTTGAAGTCTTCAGGAAGAGGGCAGGGGCAAGGGAGGCAGCGAAATTATTTACTAGTACACTCGGGTCATAGAGAAGACGTCCTCCCCCCATATTGAATGTCTCTCTTGGTTCAGCAGAACGATATGTATATAAGTAGATAAACAGGTAGATGGAAGGATGGACGGATGGACAGACGCCCAAAGGGAGCGAGGGGTGGAGTGAGTGAGGGAGGGGAGGGAGGGAGGGAGGGTTGGGTAGGTGGGTGGGCGTATATATATATATATATATATGTCACAGCCCCTCGTTTGTTGTCCTCTTCTCCCTCTCTGCCTACGGTTTACCGGGCAGTTCTATTTGACGATATATATATATATCGTCACAAACAGAACTGCCCGGTAAAACCGTAGGCAGAGAGAGAGAAGAGGACAACAAACGAGGGGCTGTGACAAACTGTTTCGTCGGAGTTTATATATATATCGTCACAAATAGAACTGCCCGGTGAACCGTAGGCAGAGAGGGAGAAGAGGACAAC